TTGAGAACTTGCTGCGAAGTCTGGGGGAGAAATTACATGAAGGAGGAGGATTCCACCTCTAATATCAGCCCTGGAAGGAAGTGATAATCCTGCCAGCATTAGCAGCCTGGACATCTGGAAAAACGTGACTCTTAATATCCAGAGCTGCCTTTGCTGTTCTGACCACAGCTTGCCACTCTGATCCTCTGATCTCTTGACAGTGGTTCTGATCCCACTGCCAGCGAGAAACAGTGCCTGCTGCATGTGAGGATGGGGGATAAAGAGACGGCTTGGTAGACTGTCATTGGAAGATCATGAGATGGGATCTCCATATTTTATGGTTATCTAGAGAATGAATCTGATCTCAATTTATCAGGATTACTTAACCTCAGTGGCATGAGTTTTCTCGTAGGTGAGTTTGGAGCTAAGAAGGATCTCCATTAGCTTGACTAGTAAAAATATGTTGGTTAATGGATTCTACTAGACATTCACATTTAGATTGATTACTCTGTTATACTGTTATGAAGTACAAAAAATTTGCCACCCATTCTCCGCCTCAGAAGCACACATCTGTGTTCAATAGCAATCACTATCAAGGAAGTTTCATTTGAGAGTTGCCTGGCATGCTGATTGATTCTTTTTTCTTTTTTCTTTCTTTTTTCTTTCTTTCTTTTTTTTTTTTTTTTTTTTTTTTTTTTTTTTTTTTTGAGATGGAGTCTCTCTCTTTCGCCCAGGCTGGACTGCAGTGGCGTGATCTCAACTCACTGCAACCTCCACCTCCAGGGTTCAAGTGCTCTCCTGCCTCAGCCTCCCGAGTAGCTGGGATTTCAGGCACTCACCACCATGCCCAGGGAATGTTTGTATTTTCAGTAGAGACGGGTTTCACCATGTTGGCCAAGCTGGTCTCAAACTCCTGGCCTCAGGTGATCTGCCTGCCTCGGCCTCCCAAAGTGTTGGGATTACAGGCATGAGCCACTGAGCCTGGCCAATGCTGATTGATTCTGCTCTACTTCCACAAAGACATGATGCAGTCAACCAGTATACTAGTTTTTTTGTTTGTTTGTTTGTTTTTTCTTTTTTGTATCCAGTTTAGGGGGATTATTCATGCTGCATATTTCCCCCATGTCTGGAAAAGTGAGCCAGTACCTGCATCTCTATTCATTCTCTTCAGTTTGACCCCTTCTCAGGCACCTTGTCCCCTAAACCCCTTACATTTTCCTGGCCATCCACCTCTTTGACCATCTTCCATTTTTTAAAGTCTTGTTTTTCTGTGATTGGTGCCTCCCTTCTTGGGGCTGATAGTGTTCACTTGTGGAAGCAGAAAGGGCGCTGTGTTTGGAGTTGGGGGAACTGACTTTGAGTTCCAGATTCAGGCATAGTCACTGTGGCTAGAGTGGAAGAGGAAGAAATCTCCCATAGGACATTCTGATTTCATTAGACTGCTTTGGGGTCTGAGACTCAGTACTTTTTAAAACTCACTGGGGCATTCTTATGAGCAGTGAAGGTTAGGAGCCTCTGTTCTATACTGATGCATTGAAGGAGCTCTTGGGGTCAGGGGCAAAATGAGGCCAGGACCAGAAGAGTGGGAATGTACACTGGAAAAGGGAAAACATGCATGAGCTCCAGTCCAGGCTCTAATATTCCAGCTTTGTGACTTTGGACCAGTCACATTATTTCTCTTGGGCTGCAGTTTTTTAAAACCTGGCAATGTGGAGATGACAATCTCTCTAGCACATGGGATTGGCATGAGTGTCAAACTAATACTACTACTACTAATAATAACTGCCATTCATTGCATTCTTATTCTGATTCTCAGGCACCCTCCAAGTGCTTTATGTGAATTATCTCATTTAACCCTTGCAAAATTCCATCTAAGGACGATCTTATGAGGAGACAGTGTGTTGATAAGTCCTTTGTAATTGGTAAAACCTTGTGAATATATGATATCATGCTCCACATACTTTTGCAAAACTCCCTTACATATATATTGCCCAAGGATATATAAATGAAAAGTAGAGACAATAAGATTTATGACTGACTCTTTTAACACCCAGGTCATTGATCTTTCTGCTGTACTCCACTGGTTCCTGGATAATTGCAGATTGTGTAATAGTATGTTTGAACCCCACTGTTCCTTAGTTCCTTGCTAGGAAAAATCTAATCCACCAAATCAGCTTCACCAAGATGCAAAGAAGGTTCAGAGTTTAAAATGTCTGATTTTATTCTATCATGAAGTAGGGTTTCTGTATTCTGGCAGTGGGATGCATCTATTCTAAGGCTAAATGTCATTTCTTGGCATATGAAACAGTCATTTATTTATTTGGATGTGAAGTCCTTTAGATTTGCCAAGATATGGACCAGTAGTCCTGAACTTGGGGATGCATTTCTTAACTGAGAAACTCATAGTTCTGCTATTACAGGTACTGCTGCTTTTGCCATATTTTAGAGGAGGCAGGAATTATAAAATGCCCTTTGATGAACATCTATGTAATTGAAGACTTAATAGTCCCTCTGATTGTTACTAGTTCTCTTGCATTTAAATCCTGTACTGTACAGTGATTTTAGCCTTGGTCCAGTTCACTTCATAGAGTGCCCCCAGGCCCCTCATTTATCTAGGTGGCCCTGAAACTGGATTGTAGATTAGTACTACCTTTTGCTTTATTCTGTCTCTCGACTGTCCATCTACCAGAAGGCAGGAACAAGGACTGGTTCTGCTATGTCATTGTATCTCTGTAAAAGTTTTATTGAAACTGAAACTAATTTAAAATGCTTTTTTTTTTAATTACAGATTTTATTTTTTCTGGGTGTTTCCCTCCTTGGTTTCAATGAGTGGACTGCCCCCTGGTGGACAAGAACTGTCAGCTCACATGAAAGCATGCTTTTGTTACTTCAGGCCACAGTCTGAATTATTTTTCTTCAGTTAATATGAATTATATTCCATGAACAATAAGAATTGAATTCATAATATGTCAAATTCAATAAAAAACAGAACTCTAATATTCCTCCAGATATTCTTGGAATACCCTCAATTATGAGGACAGGGTCATAATCTTTGTACAGTAAATTTCCATTTTTCTGGAATGGCTGGGGAATCGTGAATTCTAATTTGTAGGTTATCTCACAGTCACTGATATAACTTACATAGGCTAATCGTTTGCAAAGAATTAGTACACAGTGTGTAATGGAATACATGGACTGCTGAATGTCAGTTTCAGTAGTACTTGAAAATAATAGTGAATACTTACATAATACTAAGTGCATCAGGTACTTAAGTTCATTTAATTCCCCCTTTTCTATGAGATAGGCATGGTTACTATTGCTCTTGTGAAGATGAGGAAGCTGAGAACTGTCACACAGCTAGAAAATGGTAGAGCTGGAATTTAAACCCAGGTAATAAATTTCCAGAGAGCATGCACTTCAACCCTATGATAAATGGCCTTGCTTATGAGTTACAGAACATTTCAGGATGCCACAGGATCTCTCTTCTGAGCACTGCTGTTCACCAATGTAGAAGTTGTAGGGCATTAGAATTAACCCTATGGCAGACCCAACCCCTTTCCCTTTCCACAACTTCCACTACCCTCATCACTGTGACACCTATCAGAGCATTGTATGTATTAGGGGTGCAGTAAATATCTCTTATCTATGAACTTGCATCATTCAAAGCCTTTTTTCCAGAAAATCTCAGCTCTCAGTTTATTTTTATTCATTTCTTTCTCACAAAATCATGGTGGATCCTACACAACCAAAATATGATTATTTAATTGTTTCATTCAGGATAACATATAAGATTCTTCACACATGCTAGACTCATATGTGGCATATCCAGACCAAAGCAAGCTTTACCCAGCTCAGTAAAGAAGACTACGTATCTGGTTTCATTCTTTTGAGAAAAAGTTTCTTTTTCATGCCAGGTGAACCACATCTACATTTCTGCATGTAACATGTTAAAGGATTTCTTTGACACTGGACTTAATGCAGGTCACTGCTGTGGTTTGGATATGGTCTGTCCCTACAAAGACTCATGTGGAAATTTGATCCTCAATTTCCCAGTGTTGGGAGGTGGGGCCTAGCGGGAGGTATTTAGGTCATAGGGACAGATCTCTCATACATAGATTAATACTCTCCCTTGAGGAGGTGAGTGAGTTCTTCAGGAAATGGATTAGTTTCCCCAACAGTGGATTGTTAAAAAGTGTATGGCTCCCTCTGTTTCTCTCTCTTGCTTCCTCTCTTGCCATGCAGTCTCTTTGCACACATACCTGCTCCCCTTCCACTTGCCACCATGAGTTGAAGCAGCTTGAGACCCTCACCAGATGCAACTGCCCAGTTTTGAACTTTCCAGCCACAAGAATAATGAACCAAATAAACCTCTTTTCTTTATAAATTACTCATCCTCGGGTATCCTGTTAAAGCAACACGAAACAGACTAAGACAGGCACAAAAAGTTTTACTGAAAACTGAACTCATAATCGAAGATGAGACCTTTACCACAAACTTGAATACCCTGTGGGTTTACCCTCTCAAAGGTGGCCGGGAAGCATGCCTAGCCCTGAAGTGCTCCTTTTCTGGGTGATCCATGCTGTCCTGGGTGATCCATAGGTGTCCCTTGCAGTTGGGATACTTGCTTCTAGTTTCAAGTCCTTTTGGACTTGCTTACTCACCCAGAGTCTGGCTTGCTGGCGCTACAGCTCTCTGACTCTCCCATCTGACTGCCAAGATTAATTCATCATCTTTGCAAGAGTCAAAAACTTCCTTTTGATAGGAAGAGCCACTTCCTATTTGGAGAAACAAAATCAGATGTCCTGTTACACAGAAACATGGACTGTTGACATTCGTCATGTCACTTTGTTTAATCACTATGGCTGACACTGTGTGGGTTTCTGTGGCACAGTGGTCAGCACACAATAAGTAGTATACATGGTGTTGGCTGTTGAATGTACCTGGGAATACACCACGAGCCAATTTTGTTTCTATACAACCATTTTCCTGTGAATCAATGCAGTTCTTGGAGACTGCTTCAGGATGCTACATACAAGCACACACTGCGCAATGTTTTTGAAGATATGAGGAGGAGGAAGCCGTGCCAGTGGCTCAAGAAGAATAACGTGGTTTTAAAATACAGCCTAATGTGTCTAGTAACACAGGTGTGCTACTTTGTCTTAAAATTAAATATTAACATGGCCAGAAATCTTCCTGTTTATTCCTGCTTCTAATAAAGCCAACTTTATGTGGTGTTTGGTTGGTTTTAATAAATCTAGAACACAAAAAGAAAAACACTTCATCTGACAATACAACTTTAAAGCATTCCACTTTAGATAACTACAAAACGAAATTCTCGTAATTATCAAGCCTCAACTATCAACATAATTAATATGGGCTTTAATTAAGTTTCTTTTTTTTTTCCACTAAAAAAAGAAAAAGAAAACTTACCATCTGCATTCACCCAGAAACACATGCATGGTTGAAATCAGACCGTCTGGGTGTTTTGGACACAAAAGAAACCTTTGACCACTTGGATTTGAGCATATGAGTGTCAAGAACCCCCAGAACAGAGCCAATCCCAAACGCGCTACAGTGTTTCCATTCAGAGGCCATCAATGTGCCTCTTTAACGGTTTTTCAGAATCCCAGGAAATTGTGATTACATGGCATTAGCTTTTCATTTTCTGAAGAATGGATGAAAAGCATGAAAGTCCTCTTAACAATGTGAAGAAAAGTATTTTTGGTTCTGGTATACTTCTGCTGTTTTCTGATAAACACTACACAGAAAATGCCTTTAAGATACCACACAATTATACATACAATTGTAGCTCAGTGGTGCCCGTGCTAGAGAGACTACAACCTTATCCAGGGAGAAAAAGACCCCCAAATGGCAATTGTTCTCACTGAACAGTCACTTAGTCAAGGATGGTATTCATTCTAGCAATATCATGAATTTATTTTCCTTTCTTTGTGAGATGCTCTTATGTTACCATGGAAGTAATCTTAATTCAGCATTTTTTTTGGCAAGGTGGGGGTCAGCGGGGGTGATATTTCCAAGTAAATAACTGTAGGTTTTGTAAGTTTTGACTGGAAATTTACTTCATCTAGCTGATTCTGTATTTGCTGTATTGAGGAAGAAAGTACTTAATAGTCCATTGCGTGTACAAATTGTGAAAATAACGTTGGTCTGGTTATATTTACATGTGGACCAACAGTATTTACCGAATGTCAATAAAAAGCACAAAGAGAGGACCACATTGTCAGTGAATTGAAGAATATTTATGTGAACCCTAAGATTCTCGCAAGATTCAGGTAAGAAACCAAAGTAGAAATCATGGAATATTTTATGGCAAGATAAGGATTGAGGCTATCACCACTCACACCATTATCCATTAACTGTATTGCGAGCTCATCAAATGATATTTAAGTCTCAGCAGAGACCTCAAAGGCTCTAAGCGTGTGCTTTTTGAATTTTAATGGTGCAAGAATTGCTTGGATAGGTGTTTATAAAAGATTCAGATTCTCAGATTTCCCTCAGAGATCGTTTTATTATATCTGGAGTGGGGCCCAGAAACCAGCATCTGAAAAAATATACCAGATGATTCTGCAGCAGTGGTCTGTGTCACTCTGTCACCCAGCCTGGAGTGTAGTGGCATGCCCACAGCTCACTGCAGCCTTGACCTCCTGGGCTCAAGTGATCCTCCCACCTCAGCCTCCCAAGTAGCTGGGACTACAGGCATGCACCACCATGCCCAGCTAATTTTTGTACTTTTTATAGAGATGGGTTTTCACCACATTGCCTAGACTGGTCTTAATCTCCTGGGCTCAAGCGATCTGCCTGCCTCGGCCTCCCAAAGTGCTGGCATTACAGGTGTAAGTCACTGTGCCCAGCCTGTGGTTGACTCTTAAAGAAATTTTTTTTAAAGTACAGCTATCAACTAAAAATGAAAAAAAAATACATTTAAAAAAGAAATATAACTTAGCCCTTTTTAATCCACTTGAAATACCCACCTAACCTTCAGATTGTCCCCGTCTGTTGAAGTACTTGTACTCATCTTTTTAAGATTAATTCATCCCCAGGTTTGGATAAATACACATCTTTCCTGTCTCCATAGTAATGTAGTTATAAATGACCACTCCAATGTCACCTAGCTGGAGGAGCAAAGGAAATGCATTGTGATAAAACCCTACCACAGCCATACATATCTTGAAACAACTCAAGTTAGAATGGACTGTCGTTGACCTTGATATCTGCTTATTTTGCAATGATGGGGAAAATGATATGTGCTTTTTTTCTCCCCTCTTCACTCATTTTGCATATCCTGGCTTCTCAAAGTGTGGTCTGTGGACCAGTAGCATCAGTATCACCTGAGAGTTTCTTTGAAACTCTGTTTCAAAGTTTCTGTAAGTTTCTTTGAAACTTACAGAATATAAGGCCCTGCCCAGACCTACTGAATTACAATCTGCCTGTGAACAAGATCCCTTGTGATCCCTGTGTATATGAAAGATGGAGGTGGTGAACAACAGCCATTTTTAGAAAGGAATAAATGGGAGAGTATAGGTTTCCTTACAGCAAAGTTAAACATGCTGTATGTAACATCAAAATGAACAAGTTCTATGGACTAAGGTAGACACTTTTTTTCCTTCTAAGATCATGTATTTGACATTACTACAAATGATCATTCTGGGCTCTATCCCCAACTTTTGCCCCTGAACCTGGGATAGCCTTATGACTTGGGCTATCTCAGGATTCTTATTGCCATGACGGTATTTCACCATGGTTCACTGCTGTACCTCTCCCAATTCCCCTCTTACCTCCCTCCCTCCAGACACAAAGTCTTACTCCAACAGACTTGATGAGTCTCTCCTATAAGCAAGGCCCTGGGAGAGGGGCTGGAAAGAGACAGATGCAAAAGAGGACCAAGAAGGACTCTGCCTGCTAGAAGAATGTGACAATAAGAACAAAGATGGGGGCCAGGGACGGTGGCTCACGCCTATAATCCCAGCACTTTGGGAGG